CGCTACTACGCACACATAACGGTAAGCAAACATTCAAGTCTATTTAAAAACAAACAGTTATAACGACAACAAACACGCAGAATAGTTGTTGAGAAAACTTTAGTCGAGCTGGTGCAAAGTTTTTCGCTTACAAGTGCTCCTATGTGCAAAGCAGCAAATGCAAATGCCTGACAATTGGTGAGTTAAGTGGTGGCATGAATGTACAAGTGACACTTCTGCTACCTATACATACACACATACACACATTTATATTTAACTATTTACAAGCAAGTGCAAAGAAACGCATATGTGCCACAAATACTTGCAACACATGTTCGCACCTACTTACTGCCAACTAGTGGTTAGTTTTTAAGCAAATATTGGCCATATATATTCTCGCTATATGTGTGTGTATATGTGTGCATGTTTTTGGGTACATTTGTACGTGTGTATGTGTGCTGTGGCATATCAAAGCAGCGCAACGTTGACCAAACAAACCAACTAGCTAAGTATAGCCGAGCAAACAAGCGCGCATATGAGTACGAACTCCTGTATATGAACGATATATACATACACACATGCCCACATATCAACACATGTGCATATTTGAGTGCATATAAATATAAATTTGAGTAGCAAAGTAAGAAAGTACAAAAAGAAACGGCATAAATAAACTTTTCAGACACATTTACCAGCCACGAGTGCCAGTTGGACAACAAATACATATGCATATAGAGCGGCACACTCATACATGTTACATACACATATACGAGAAACACACACAAACACTTTTGCAACTATATAGCAGATACTATTCTTCCTGCCGCTTGCTTAAACCAACAAACAATAAGTCTTTACATTCAACGTGTGCCAAAGTTTATGCAATTTTGAAGTGAACATGTCTGTATATATTCATATATGTATGTGTGCGTGTGCCTGTGCTTGTCTGGTGATTTATACAAATGTGAAATTGCAAAATCTATAACATTATTCAAGTTGGGCGCTTAAGTGTTGTGGCAATGCATATTAAGTGATAAAATATGCCTTACTTTCCAGAAATCGATTGACATACTAATACTTAGACAAATATAACGGCACACAATGGCTTTTGTGCATGTTTATGCAGAGTTGCTGCAACCAAAAGTAGACAAGTTATAAGCAGACAAAGGCAAAGACATACAAATGTGCGTTTCGCCAACGTGTTGTTAGGATTCTCTCACCGATATTTATTCGAATTTCTACTGACTGCTGAAGAAAAAACTGATGAGTGTTTTTGGTATGCAATACATTGGTAACTGATACTATATTTACAAATATTAAACTACTATGCTGGGTTTTGAAGCAAGACGTAGTCCTTTGAAATTGTTGCAAAGTCTGTGGCGAAAGGATCTTTCTCTCAGATACGCTCGAACGAATGAATAGTTAGATTAAGCTGTGCCGTTGAATTAAAAACCGTCAGTTTTTTTGACAAATCATATCTGTAAACCTAGTGTATTGGACAACGGTTACTTTTATTCCAACAGGCGCGCATGCTTCCCAACTGCAGAAGAAGAAAAAGCAACCTAATCAATCGAGGTTGACTTCGAAGTTCTCGCTTTTGAAACACCAATCTTTTAGGAAAACTCACTTTATATTGATATATTCTTCATCGATCAAAGCAAATAAGAAATTGCGCTACCAAACTCTTCGTTAGAATTTTGATAGAAAACAGGTCTATCGAAAAGTCCCCAATCTGACCCATAAATGGCGCTACCAGAATTAAATCTTTATAATATTTAGTTAGCGCTAAGCTGCTGTCGGGTCATTAGTCTGTGAATTACGTAATTTTCAACGAAGTAAGTTTTGTTATTGTAAAAAAATATCAAAAAAAAAATTTCGGGTGTCGATAAAATATTCCTTTTAGAAGGGGAAATATACAGATGAAACAAAGACTTGGCTTGATGACGAGTTTCCATACACTGCCCTAGAAAAATCAAGGATTGATATACTAAGTTTAAACGTAGCGAAATATGCACCGCAGGCGGTGAAAGCAGATGTTACCCAAAAGAGGAGGTTGCCGCCGAAATCAGCAAGAAAAGTCCACAAATTAATTTTGGATGACCATAAATGGAAGCGCTAAGGATATCAACAGAATGCGTACATCATATTATTCACGAATATTTGCGTATGAGAAAAGTGGGTACCGCAAAAGTTCACATTTGACCAAAAACAGCGAAAACTTGATGATAAGGAGCAGTGTTTAGAGATCTTCAAGCGTAATTAACAAGAGTTTTGGCGTCAATATGTGACAATGGATGAAAATTGACTTCATAATTTCACTCCGAAGTTCAAGCGACAGTCATCCAAGTGGACTGCACAGAATTAACCGGCTGCAAAACACGGAAAAAGGCAAAAATGGCTGTCAGAAGTTACGGCAACTGTATTTTGGGATGCGCGTGGAATAATTTTTATTGACTACCTTGAAAAAGTAAGGACCATCAACAGCGACTATTTTCTGTTCTTTGGCCTCAAAAAAAAAAAGGTAGCTGGGAAGAAATTTTCGTTTGATCGAAAAGTTGGGTGTCGCTCTAATTGTGGAAAACTGGCTAAATTTAGCAAGACAGTCCACCGATCAAAAACTCTGCTGTTGCTGACGAGTTGACAGTCCTTGGCCGGATAAAAAATCTGGATCCGTTTCGATTACGTAGATCCGTCCATCAGGGAAACGGCTCGACTATCATGGGAACGAAAATTCGCTTTCATTATGACTTCACTGCAAAAGACGTTGATGCTACAACGCGAATACTTTCTAATTCTATGAAAGTGAAACAGAATGTGGCTTACAACTGGGCAAAGCTACTTTTGGTCTCTTTAAAATTAGTTCTTCGTTTTCTTTCCATAAATAAATAGTTTATTTCATAAGGCTATAATGTACAAATTTCTCTAGTTCCCATAATTACTGGTAACACAATGAATACTTAGGCAAGCAATAAGTATGAGGTTGGATACATATGTTTCATAGGCAAGCAATAAGTATGAGGTTGGATACATATGTTTCTGTACTTGTATGGTTTAGAATACACTGACTGAATATTAATAATTCAACATTAGGTCAACAAGACCATATAAATCAACTCCCTTATAGCCATGCCACGAATGCAATTGGTGATCTTTCACTAAGTGTTGAAGTACACTCCATTTACAGCCCTACGTTGTCTCAGATCCGGCCTTGCGACAAGTTTTGACACTAGTTAAGACGAATACGATAATAATCTGGACTCTACTAAATATGGTACTCATGTTCGGACCAGATCGGTACGGAGCATTAGAGAGGTGAGTCAATTGTGGTATAAAAAGAGATGTTTACATTCTGGGTTCAAAAAATTACAGAGGCTTGCTGAACTATGCATAACGAGTGTTCCAAGAACCACTCCTACGGCAGCTCTTGAACAAGTCCCTGAAAACTGCGCCACAAAATCGGCTGGGCGACTACTAGCAGAAGCGCGATATGCAATGGTGGTTTGGCAAGCATCGACTACATAAACCCACTTCTCAAAGAAAGATTGGTGCGGGGATATTTTGTACAGAATTAGACTTAAGGCAAACTTTAAAGCTGCCAGAACGCAACAAGCAACTGCACTGCTACCGGATGCCAGGTCACAACGGCATCGATGCCAAAAGAGATAGTGGACGGTATTGCCGAAAGTTTAGTACGTAACGGCACTTCATCTAGAATCGTTAAGAACCAAAACTGGTGTATGCGTGGCTTACGTGGCCAGAGTAACCCGAAAAAATAACTTCGAAACGAAATCAGCCGTCGCGTTATGCTTATCACATATTCATGCGCGTTTGTTACTTGCACAAATATTTATTATTTCACAAAACACAATCACAAATTAAATCAAAATATTTATAATTAATTTTTAAATAAAATTTATGGTATTTAGATAAAGTTGTTATTAAAACAACTCAATATAAAAGCTTTTGAAGTACAATGAAGTAAACATGGTGGTTGGTTTGAAGGGGAAATTAAATCGATATCTGAATAAATGAATGCTATGCTGTGTTTTCATAGAAATTTCGAACAAAAAACGTTTATCAATCAAAATTTATTGCAAATATGACAAGCATTACAGTTCCGCTATGAAGAAATGTGCTAAAAATTAGCTATGAAGAATTTCAAGGCTAGAAGCAGTGCTTAAAAAGTTTCAGCCACAAAAATATAAATACAATTTTAACACATCTAAACTTTGCGAGCTGTCAGCGCCTGTCAAGATATGATTTTGAAAACAGTAAAGTAGAATATAATATATTTGATATACATATAAACATGATTTAACGGTACTTTAGAAAAAGTCATATTAGCGTTTTTATATAATTCGAAAATTTTAAATTCAACTGAGAAAACAGTAAGACTATTTAATTTACATTTCGCGCGAAACCCCGTTTTTCGAAACATTTTCTTTTTTACAAAAATCTGGAAAATTCGCTTTTTTCGGCCTCTAGCAGTACATAACTCTCCAAGTACTAGTCGAATAACACCACACAACATGGCGCCATCATACACATGTTTTACCCGACTTGGCATAAAGCATGTAACGGATTTTCTTCTTTCTTCTTAGAAGAACGGAACAATACTTAGATTGGAATACACTAGAGTTGAATGTCATCTGTCTGTTGAATTTCCATGAATTGTTTTCCGTAACAGATAATCCTTTTTAACAAAGCTAAGTTGAGCAAACCTATTTATTTAGACAAAAGGCTGACAATGACAGCGCTAATGAAAGAAGCTGACGCCCCTTATTTATTGCTACAAAATAAATCGAGCTTATTGCTCAGGGTCAGGTACACATGCACTTATTTAAGCAACAAAGCAATCACACTAAACAATAAGTCGACGGACAGACATTTAGAAAAGGTGTAACGAAGTCTCAAGATCCAATAAAATTTTACCTGCTCGAATCGCATTTCTACCTAACCTGAAGCGTATAAATATAAGAAAAAAATTATTTACATCATCATTACAGTATTAGTTACCCACTATTAAACAACAGCACTTTGAAACAAATCCACAATTATGGACTTATCGATGAACAGTATGAATTTTGGAAGTACGAACGAATCGACAGAGATCGCAATTGATTTACGGCAATTTTCGACAAACTCTACTGCAAGTGTTGGACAAAAGGCAAAACATGTTTTTACCGAATTTAAAAATAGCAAACAAATAGGGAACAAACGATTATCGGCAGCTGAACTTCAATTAAAACGTCGACAAGAATTTGAAATAAGATTCAAAGATGAAGTGAAAAAACCAAAATTGGACCAACACATAACACCAGCGCGAGAAGAAACACCGCGAAATGTTGCCGCAACACCGACAGTGCAGACAACAAATAATATTGTTAAACTTATGCGACTATTACAAGCTCGAATCGCCAGTAATTTTGACACAGTGTTATCAAGTCCACGAAGTAGCGGCATTATTTCGAACCCATACCCCACAGTGACAGTTATTAAAGCAGAACCAATCAACAACGTGGACGCATCGAATACTTTGAATGCTGGAGACTCTCTTTCGCCGATATCAATCTCTTCGCTAAACGTTAAACAGGAACCCATGGATGAGGCAAATATAGAATCCACTCTTACTAACACAAAGAACAATTTCGAAGAGTCCGCTTATGTACAAATAGGTCCACACGGCACACACGTATCCAAAGTGGATTTAGCATCAATAAACTGGACGGAAGCATCACTTGCCACGCGAAAACTTATGACTTTCGTATTTGACCGTCAAACGCTTGGAACGCATACGCTCAGTGGCAAACCCTCGCCTGCTTTCCGTGACCGAAAGCTAAAGGCGCAACTAGATCCACTGAAAGTAGCTGATATAAAACATTATGTGAAACAAAAGATTAACTGTACGGAACGTGAAATTCGCAGCGCAATAACTATGAAGTGTGCCGATACCGCAAAAACTATCCGAAGGAAGAGCTTAGCCAAAGTGAAATGAGAGACATCCTTGTAGTATTAGTAGATTAGATTCAAGACGAAGTTTGCACTGATTAATAAAATATTAAAATTGTAGGAAACTATACTCGCTTATATTGCTTTACAGTTGGGAGGATTAATATAGTGAAATATAAAACTTGTGAGAGCAGGCCCGATTGTTTCAAGCTATTCGAAATAAGCGCCAGAATATTTATATTTACATCTTCAAATATACAAAAATATAAATTATATTAAAAAAAACTAAAATTTTCTTTTACTTTCTTTAGTAGTGGTTCCGGCCACGCATTGCTGTGGTATTTATTTTTATACAATTATTCATAAGTATAATAATACAGTGGAAATTTTATTAATATTATATATTATTTTTCCTTTTTGACATTCCTATTCTATGGCCTCAACTTTAAGAGCGCTACGCCGCATTTCTGCTCGTCATACTCGTCCTCTCAGATTAAGAATTGAGCGCCTAGTGGAAAGTACAAAATGTTCCGTGCCAGTGAGATGGTCGAGGGGTCGAGAATATTGCTGCCACTGGCGCGTCAATTAAGAAAGATCCAAATCAGTATCTCACACGTCGCACTCAAGCATTGTCGTTGTGGTGAATTTTACGAAATTATCTTGGCCAACATTCTAACAAGACAAATTGATGCAAAAACTGAAGTCGCAAACTTCTTGATCAAAGCCCAATTAAAGATATATTAGATTGTCAAAAAAGTCTTGCGGTATTTTCGCTAGTTGGCGCTGAGATCGCGTAGTTCTAGTTTTATTCGACGCATCGGGTCATGCTATACCTTTTTGGAAAGCTCATTTCACGCGCTAACTCATGTTTGATTGATTGTCGTTTCTTTTAAGTCGTTCGTGAGTTAAAGTGTCGCAAACATGGAACAAAATAAACAGAAAATGCGGGATATTTTACAGTACTACTACGATAAAGGCAAAAATGCATCTCAGCCGCCAATAAAATTTGAGCGGTTTATGGACCCGATAGAGTTTCCAATTCCACCGCACAACGATGATTTCAACCTTTTCGTTTTGGTGTAGAGGTGGTCGAACATGCGCCGCGCTCATAAAGGCCTGCCGTCGAAAATTGCGATAAAATCGCTGAATTGGTCGAAAGAGACCGGCATAGTGGCAGCCGTAGCATCGGTTAAGAGCTGGGCTTGAGCCATCAAAAATATTTTTATGAACAATTGAAAATTAATAAAAAAATACCGCAAGACTTTTTTGACAAACTATTATTTAAACTTTTATGCTATAGGAAATAGCAAATAGGAAATAGGAAATGCACCATATATGGCATAATAAGTGAATATACTTTCCTGTCCACAATCTGGTTATCCGTAAATAAGATTGAAATTGGTTTAGACCGTGAGCTAACTGCCACATATGTATCTAATTTTTGGGCAATGCTATTATTTTTATTTTATTTTTTTCTTTTTTGTTGAGTTAGTCGGTTAACATGTGGGATATTTCAAAATGATGAGATCCATGCACCCGCACCGTTCAAATCAACTGTTTTTCGAAAATCACGGATTGTGTTTGACAAGTGAAATTTTGTTGGCAAAAAATCGATATTCATCAATCTGTGAAATTTGGTAAATCTCCAGGCATTTACATGCCAAATTGAGCAGCTCTTTGTCGGCGCAAAACATTTGCAAACATTATGTACAGCAAAACAAGTATGTAAATATGTGGTTGTATGCATGTATATGTATAAAAATTGTGTGTTGATTACAAAATATTCAATATTTCCACTGACTGGCCGAGGACAAGCAAATATTTCATTTGCCACTAAACAATTTGGTGCACATTTTGCGGCCAAATTAATGGTCAGTTAAATTGGCTATGCTATGCCATGCGGTGGTAAGCTGAGCTGGGCTGTGTGTGGTGCTCTGCTATGCTTATGCTGTGCCTGTGAACCGCATGTTAATTTGAGCTGAATGCAAAGCAACATATTTGCCCGGCCGAGGCGCACAAGCAAATGCACTTAGATGTGACGCCTACGACATTCACCAATGATACACTGACATTTTTGACACTGCCTCTGTGTGCCTGTGTGTTGATAATAAGGCATTTGACTGTGCATTAACCACTGCCCACAACAAATATTCAGCAGCAGCAGCGGCAGCGGCAGGAGCAAATCACAGTCAGCTTGTAGTCGCGTATACAAGTAAATTAGCGGTTGCAGCTCTGCACGAGCATAAACACACCCACCCACACTCGCGCTCACTCACACGCCTGCACCAGCACTAATTTGATTGTGAGCTCATACTTCACACTGGTCGCCACTTGCACGCACACACATGTGCAGATATACATATATACAAATATGAATGCCTTCAGCGCGGCACCAACTGTTAGCACGAACTGTCAGCGCTGGCTGTCAGCACGGCAGCACGGCAGCATCAATTGGCGTCAACCGAACGACCTCATAAACAAATTTGCAAATTCATCAAGTGTAAATCCCTTGATTATGACAGCATTATCGCAGGCGGTGGCAGTGCCGTTGGCGGTGCTAGTAATGAAATATTGTTGTTGTTGTTGTTATAGTTGCTGTTATTCCTACTGCATATCCCTGCACTTATATTAAGTTATATGCGGGCTACACTGCCACCGCCCATATGCGCATTTCCATATGATTTACTCAACAACATTGTTTGTGTATGTGCGTGTGGGTTCATACACATGCAGTAAAAGTATATATAGTTGTGTGTCTTTGTCAAATTTAGACAAGTTTACTCAGCATTAAAAGCACACAAGCGCACGTTTTTAAGCAAACGGTCGCAGCAGGAAAATCAATACAAACGCAATTCAAAATATTGCGTATACGCCAAGGTAAGCGTGGGAGATGTAGGTGCACAGAGGGCTTGTACGAGCAGTTATAGAAAATGTATAAAAATTATAAAAGAAAAAAAAAAAGATTTAATTAAATTAAATAGAGGCAAACAAAAGTAAAAAAAAAATATAACTAAAATAAATAATATGAATAAAATTGG